TTCCTTCTCTTGCTCTAGGCCGAGGCCACAGTGCTTCATTGCGCTTACCACGCAAACCCTTTTTTGTAAGGCTCTACTCCCGCCCAGGGTAAGGCGAGAAAGAGACTCTTAATGACTAAAACCCCCCGGCCCTTCTCCTGCTTTAGGCTGAGGCTGCGGTATATTATGTCGCTTGCCCCGCAAAGCCATGGTATCACTTCGATCAAGCCGGCACGAAATTTATGCTTCGGCACGAATGGGTCGGCTCGACCGGAGTGAAACAACCACAGCGTTGTGTTTCGCCGTTTGAGTGAGGTTACCAGAGGTCCAATCCTTCCCCTTCCCCAATCCCTAAATCTCCTAATCCCTAAAAGGTCGGCAACGCACTTATAGGTAACTCCTACGTTGCGGGTGTCCATGGACGGCACTAATTGGGTAGTTTCCTGGGTCAAAACTAAATTAATTCGTCGTTTCAATAAAATAAAATATTGAAAAATAACTATTAGGTATGTACTTTTATTCATCGATCGATCGATACACTAAAGTTTAGATATTTTTTAGCTAATTTTTAAGAAATAAGTAAGCTATTTGACGTAAAAATACTATGACGTCATAACTCAGAATTTCATACAAATTTCATAGAAAAGTATCGTTTTTGACATTTGGATAAAAGTATTGAATTTGACTAGTTGGAAACTACCGGATTGCTTACCATCAGGTAATCCGTCGATTGCCGACGTATTACATACAAACCGACCAATTCCTGCCGAAGTTAGGCTCTCCTACAAGATAAGAAAAAGGCAATAAAACACAAGAAAATATATTTAAAATTGAGTTTTTATTAATTTATCTTGACAATGTACACTTAGGGGTAGTTTCAAATACACACTTATAATGTACCTTAGTTATTTATTCAATGATTCTATGTATGTAGTCATTGGTTTTTTTACAGTTTGTTATGTAAGCAATGAAAATATTTTGGTCACTAAGTGCGCAAAGTTCCCTAACATAGGTAAAATTGACACAGAAAACAATTTCATTTTTATTAACTAAACCAAACTTAATTTCAACTAATGAAATTATAATACAAATATACCTACTTCAAAAGTAGGTAGGTATAATGTCAAAAATGAATAATAGTCTGTCAGCTCAACTACCTAGCTTTGGTGCGCTGTCGCGCGACCAGGGGGGGAGGTGGGGGGGGGGGTGGCATCTCTTCCTGCCGGAGGCTCTACGGCTCTACATGGGGGTCGTGCGGTCGATGGCGTTAGAACGCGCCAGTGTGGGCGGACGCCCTGACGGCCCGCAACATCGCCGTGCTGCGAGAACCACAGCGCGCGATGGCCGTCAGAATAATAAGGGGATACCGTATGATATACATGTGAGCAAAACAAACTATAGCGCCCGAAAGAAAAACGAACTACTTTAATGAACAAATAAATTGCAAATATTTCTGTATTATAAGGATCGTGAAATACATTGAATTAGTTGAAATATACAGCGTACTCACGTGAGCAATGTGTTGTTATCAATATGAGTCCCGGTTTGAATCGAAACTACGGTTTGAATCGAGCCCGAATCCCTCGAAGCACACCATTTAGTTCAACTATGGTTACTCAATTTAAGTGACTGTATGACCATGGTTTGAGAATTGAAAAGTAACAGGTAAAAAAGCAATCAAATCAAAATCAGAAGACATTTTTTATTCCAAATTCAATGATGAATATGTCTGCAATCGAGTACACGGGATTATTAATCTAATTAAGAAATAATATAAACATATTTATTAATTTATGTATTATTAATTAACACTAACTGTCATCACATTTAAAACGTCAGAAGTCAATCATATTTTTTTTATCCTCCCACAAATTGTTCGCATTGCACTAACACTGTTATAAAGAGTAATTAATTTCACTTTTCCTACACACATTCGCACTTTTTCCATTCAAAAGTTAAACTTTTCCGTTATTAAATTGTACTTTTCCATTTGAATGTTGAAGTTTTCCGTTATGTTTCACTTTTTCCATTTGAAAATAGAACTTTACCGTTATGAAACTTCACTTTTCCATTTAAATGATTGTGAAAGTCTTCTTTTTTTATGAAATTGCACTTATTTCATTTGAAAATAGAACTTTACCATTAAGAAATTGCTCTTTTTCCATTTGAAAATAGAACCTTTCCGTTATGTTTCACTTTTTCAATTAAAAAGTAGAACTTTTCTTTTACGTTGCGGAACTGCACTTTTCCATTTGAAGGTTGAACTTTTCCGTTATGAAACTGCACTTTTTCCGTTGTCTAGTCGAAGTTGAGCTTCGTGTTTTAGATGTCATCATCTCTGTCATGTGGCTGGTGTCTTTGTAGTACAGCAAGTCGTTGCTGCGTCACTTCGAGGTGGTGTTTGCGCCATTTTATGCGTCGATTTTGAAACCACACCTTCACCTGCGTAAGAAAACAATTGGTTATATATTTTTTATGACATAGGTTATATAGGATTACCTGATGGTAAGCAATCAGCGCCGCCTATTGACACTCGGAATACCAAAGGAGTTATTACAAGTGCGTTGCCTGCCTCTAGCCTAGGATATTACGGATTTAGGGATAGGGCGCTTGACAGACTTTTAATACGAATTTCAAAATGTAGAGGAAATTGAGCTTAATAAACAATCATTGTAAAATATTTATGTAAGGTGCTATAATTATAATTCTACCACGGCTGCAATGGCAGATATTATTTCGTTTATAGATTACAAATAATTACAATAGTAGGTGAAGGTAAATATAATGATTATTTCATCATCAGCCTATAAGTGCCCACTGCTGAGCAAAGGCCTTTTTTTGTGAGGGGAAAATCATCAAATGACTTCTCCCGCCCAGGGCCGGGCAGGAGGGAGTGTCAGACTTTTACTGACTAAAAACCCCCCTGTTCCTTCTCCTGTTCTGTGCCGAGGTCGCGGTGCTTCATTGCGCTTACCCCGCAACCCCGGCTGAACATCAGCCCTTTAGGGCCCCGTCTGTGGTGGTCTAATGGCTCTTTGAGGCGCGCGCGGAACGCTACGCGCCGTACGCTCGGACGAGAAAGAGGGATGGAGATATAAAAGGTGTATAGCTCCATCCCTCTTTTTCGCCCAAAAGATTAACGCTTTCCGAAATCAGTTCCGGGATATGAATTTTCTTCATTATTGTAATCTATTAACACAATACTATCTCCCATTAAAGCCTTGGCATATATTTTTAGCATCTTGTATGTGTTACAGTGATTGATCGACTCAACTTAAGTACCTATGTACCAAAGAATCTGAATCATCATCTTCCTGCCCTTGTCCCGTTTTATTTGGGGTCGGCGCAATATGTGTTTTTCTTCCATTCTGTCCTGTCACCCGTCACGCTATCGCTAACTCCTCTGTCTTCCATATCACTTCTCACACAATCCAGCCAAATTTTCTTTGATCTCCCTCTTCTCTCCATCCATCCACATTTATACTCATGGCTGTTTTTGCAACATGCGTTTCATCCCTCCTTTTCACATGGCAATACCAAGACAAACAGTTCCCTTTCAACTTTTCAGTCACTGGCGCCACTTTCAAACTTCCTCTAATATACTCATTTCTCACTTTATCCATTCTCGTTACACCACACATCCATCTCAGCATTCTCATCTCTGCTACCTACATGCAATCGCTTTTCATCCGTCACCAAAGAATCTGAATATGAAACTGATTTAAAAAGATTGAAGAAGAGTAACCATGGAGTTTCTTGCTCGTTCTTCTCCATTGGAATCTACACTTTGGAATGAGCAAATAGCTTCACTAAGAGGACTGACTGACGGACTGACACTTTTATCTTTAAATTTTGTTTGACGTTCAAAAGTGCCTGTAAGGGTCTAATTGAAACAATGACAACACAACGATTAGTACCTATTTTGTCGCCTATGTCTAGGTCGCGGTCCTAGTAACCATTTAATATGTCCAAGTGTCAGACTTATACGCACGCAAAATATCCTCTTTGAATACGGTTGTTTCCAACTAGTCAAATTCAATACTTTTATCCAAATGTCAAAAACGATACTTCACTATGAAAGTATGAAAAACTAAGCTATGACGTCATAGTATTTTTGCGTCAAATAGCTTACTTATTTTTTAATAAAAAGCTACAAAATATCTATAACTTAGTCTATCGATCGATCGATGAATAAAAGTATAGTTATTTTTCAATATTTTATTGTATTGAAAAGTCGAATTAATTTATTTTTGACCTAAGAAACTACCCAATTGAAATAAATGATTTTGACATTTGACTTTTGATTTTTATTATGCACAGATTATTTCCCCCATATTTTGAATTTCGTGTTAAACGTCTGTCAAATGCCCTAGAAGCAATCTCGCATAGCAAATTGGATCCGCTCACGAATTATTGGGTTTTACCCAACCAATAAGAAGGCCTGTTGATTTCGTTCCGACAACCGAATCGGATTGATTTATGCGATATCAACTCGGAGGGGTGTTTATTTTGTTTTTTTTTCACGTGATAGGACGGCAGACGTATTAAAGGATTACCATGATGATGTTAAGTGATCGCAACGCCAGAGGTATTGTGGATGCGTTGCCGGCCTTTGGGGATTTGGGGTTCGAAGATTTAGGGATTGGGGGATGAAGGATTGGGCCTTCGGTAGCCTCAGTCACATGGCGAAACACAACACTGTATTTATTTTTGGCCGGCTTTTTGTGAAGCTGTGGTATCACTCCAATCTTTCCACTTTCCCCGTACCTCCTCAATCATTAAATACCTGAAACTCTAAGTACTGAAGGAGTGTCCATGGGTGCTGATTGCTTACCATCAAGTGATCTGTAAGCTCGCTCACCGACTAATCCTACTGCTATAAAAAGGGCTGATAATGACACAAAGACTTCAAGTCTTCGTTAACCAATGCCTGCGTCGCATTCTCGTAATTTACTGGCCTGAGACAATCTCCAACATAAAGCTTTTGGAGAATTGCCACGAAAGCCCAATCGACCGATAGATCAAGCGCCCCAAGTGAAGATGGATAAGGCACACGCTCCGAAGGGGTCCTGACCACATACCCAAGCAAGCCTTGGATTGGAATCCCCAAGGGAAAAGAAAGCGTGGCCGTCCACGGCAAACCTGGCGTCGCACCGTACTGGCAGAAGCGATGAGCATCGGTATGACGTGGAGTGAGGTGAAGCGTGATGCTCAAGACAGATCGCGATGGAGAACTTCAGTGGACGCCCTTTGCCCCATCTAGGGGCACAGGATATTAAGTCAAGTAAGTCAATGACACAAAGACGCTGTGAAATATAACACAGCGTTGTGTGAGTGAGGTTACCGTAAGCCCAAACCTTTCCCTCCCCCTATACCTCCCCAATCCAAAACCCTAATCCTCAAAAAGCCTGCTCGTAACTCCTTCAACGTTGCCGTAGTCCATGGGCGGCGCCGATTGCTTACCATCAGGTAATCCGTCTACTCGTTTGCCCACCAATTCTACTGCTTACGATGATCATTATGAATGGAAGGTTTTAATACTTGACCTGTGCTTCAGTGAGTTGTAGGGCGTGTGCAAGGTACAGGCGTTCAGGGCCCACCATGTACTGCTGCCGCTCGAACTCAGCTTCCAGCCGCTCCAGCTGTTCCGGCGTGAATATTGTTCGTATTCTCTTACTTCGACCAGAACTGGACAGAAGACATATTGGATAAGTCGTTATTTGCAATTTAGTCTGTCTCACAATAATAACTACTCAAAGATTAAGTAATAATTTAAAATGTCTCCAACCTGCTGTTAGAGCAAGTCATGGAATGACTTCTGGAAGTCTTGATCTGTCCAACTTGAGGCCTCATCTCCGGTCGTGGACTATCTGTAAAGAAACAGCATATGAAAAGAAAAATGAAAAGAAAAAGAAGAAAGAATTGGATAGTTTCCTAGGTCAAAAATAAATTAATTCGACGAATACAAGGAAATATTGAAAAATAACTATCTATACTTTTATTCATCGATCGATCGATACACTGAATTTTAGATATTTTTTAGCCAAATTTTAAGAAATAAGTAAACTATTTGACGCAATTATATGATGACGTCATAACTCAGTGTTTGATACAAATTTCATAGGAAAGTATAGGTAGTTTTTGACATTTGGATAAAAGTATTCAATTTGACTAGTTGGAAATAACCGCATTGTCATAATAACTAAGCTTAACATTTTCTGCTAATAAATAGCCTAAGGGCTAAAAGCTTCGAAACCTGGCAAGTACCAATGTGACTTTTGCCGAGTTAGGTATATGTACTTTCTATGATTATTTAGACACCACTGACATGCGGTGTAGGAAAAAGATCGTAAGGAAACCTGGACTTATAATTTCTTATTATATCTAAGTTTGAAATCGCGAATCCGTCTTGAGCAAGCGTAGTGATTAATGCTCAATCCTTCTCCGTGTGAGAAGAGGTCTTTGCTTAGCAGTGGGCACTTATAGGCTGATGATGATAACGTTAGATGATTCGTTCAAGAGACTAATGTAGAAAGCAGTGATTTTGTTATCCCTTCCTCTTTTTTTATTTTTTTTGTGAGGGGAAAATCATCAAATGACTTCTCCCGCCCAGGGCCGGGCTGGAGGGAGTGTCAGACTCTTACTGACTAAAAACCTCCCTGTTCCTTCTCCTGCTCTGTGCCGAGGTCGTGGTACCTCATTGCGCTTACCCCGCAACCCCGGCTGAACATCAGCCCTTTAGGGCCCCGTCTGTGGTGGTCTATTGGCTCTTTCGCACTCGTAACTTCTCCGTCTTCGGATGTCCAAGGGCGACGCCGATTGCTTACCATCAGTTAATCCGTAAGAACGTCTGGTGTCCTATCATACAAAAAATATTATATATATCATTAATTATTAGCAAAACAATAAACATTATTATTATACATAGGTATACTTTTTATTAGAAATATATGAATCAATATAAAAAAAAACAACTTTAGTTTTATTGTCAAATTAAAACTTTCACTATCAATCTTATGTAAGAGGTTCCTTTTAAGGACCTATTTGTAATACCTGTGCTAGGAGGCCCCTTAAAATTAATAAACTGTGAAGAAATGTGTAAGAAATTCAATTTATTTAATTTTTTTATTTATCTAGGTATATACCAACTTATATAAAAAACAATGCCTTTACCGATTTGGCTAATTTTTGTCTTGATCATGATCCCGCTTTTGTAGAATAAATATTGAATCAATATTTATTCTAAAAAAGCGGGCTATCCGAGCGATATATAACTTGCCCCGTCGCGAATCTCTGAGAGAACTATTTAAAACGATAAATATCCTGACGGTGCCTTGTCAGTTTATATATGAAAATATTATGTATGTAAGGAAAAATTTGCAATTATTTGAAAAAAGAAGCGATAGACATAATTTTAATACAAGAGGCAAAGATAGGCTGGCTGTGCCACGATTCCGTCTGTCCAAGGTACAGAAATCCTTTATGGGGTTCTGTGTAAATTGTTACAATAAAATTCCAAGTACCTACTGTATTGAATCTTAACGAACGAAAATTTAAAACTTATATTAAACGTGAATTGTGTAGACAGGCATACTACAAACTTTCAGATTATATTGAGGATAAGAATGCCTGGCAGCGTGTTGATTCGGCTCCACTGGACAATACTCAAATATAGTCAGCAGTTAGGTAAAATTCTCAAAAATAATGCATCCTTAATTTATATATCCAAAAAGTTTATATAGAAGCACTCTTAAAGATTGTGAGTACGCATATGTGAGCGCCATGTTCGAGACGACAAAGGAGTAAAATTTTATGATAGGTCCCCTCATTTGTTCTTTTTTTTAACAACTTGTCTCTGCATTGTTCTCACATAAGGGTACACTAATGTATACTATAAATGTTATATTATTGAAATTGTAAAACAATTTTTTTTTTTAAAAAAGAGTAACGAATGGAGTTTCTTGCTCGTTCTTCTCCATTCGAATCTACAATTTGGAATGAGCACCTAGCTTCACTGACGAACAGACTGACAGACTACTTTTCTATTTTGACGTTTCAAAAGTACCTATTGATGGTTTAGTTTGAATAAATGATTTTGACTTTGACTTTGACTTTGAATTATTCGTGGAAGTCCAGAAAATTGTACTTAGACAAAATAAAAAAAAAACTTGAAATAGTGTAAAATCGCATTCCACGCGGGCGGAGCCGCGGGCGACCACTAGTATTTATAGGTAAAATCTTTCTACACCATCATTACTGGCTTTTCCCAATTCGACAGGCTCACAGTATTCTTAGTAAAATGACATTATATTGAAACATAGAAAAATTAAACAAAAATAAGTAGTAACAAGAAGAAAAGAAATAGGTAACACATTTAAAAAAATTAATAAACTTAAAAACAAATGGTAACGAATTATGACGTCGAAAATAGGTATTAGATACTAAAATGATCACGTTATCAAAATTGTTATAATTAGGTACCTACTTAATGCTTACTATTACAAACTTCTCAAGTGAAGATTTTTTTTGCGATAAAACTCAATAAAACTTGTAAGTATTGAAATCGATCTTAATTAAGATCAATTTCAATACTTATAAGTTTAATCCCAAATCTACTCATAATAAGATGACCGCCATTTCACTGTATGTTGGTGTACCTATTATTTTGTCTGTTTTACCTAGATAGCGAAATCCCAAAGTTTGATTGTTGAGCTTTGGTTGCGGGGTAAGCGCAGTGAGGTAAGAGAAGGAACAGGGGGGTTTTAGTCAGTAAGAGTCTGACACTCCTTCCCTCCCGACGGCGGGCGAGAGAAGTCTTCTGATGATTTTCCTCTCACAAAAAAAACTGTTTTGCTTTAATCTGATAAACGCTGCTGTCCAGTATTTTTTTTAATGAGATGAGCTCATTACTTCCTCTCAAAATCACTGCAACTCCTGTGCACCAGGATCTACAGCAGCACATATTAAATCCAATAAAAATCGAAAACTTATTATAAACACATAAACTAAAACAAAATAAAATCGAAATTAATAAATTATATACTAAAGAATTCCAATTAACACATCTAGGTACTTATACGAAAAAAAGAGCAAATAAATCCAAAGACAATATTTTTTTTATTATGTTGGTAGCGGGCCTGTGCAGACGAGGTATTTCAGATTTTTCCACATTTTTTATTTTCCTGATAATGACAGATAAATAAAAAATGACAAACAATTTTTATTAGGCATAAGAAGTTAGAAAATAATTAATTAGGTAGGTAGGTCCTACCTAGATAAAAATAATTTATACACTAAAATTGGTAGACTAAAATTATTGCATGAGAAAATAAAAGTAATTTATATTCTATATATAGGTACTTATCTGTACTCTAAAATGGTGACATGTTTATTTAACACTTGTCTTTTAGATCTATTTAAAACATTATATCTAAATACATATAATACGGTAGTTTCCAACTGGTCAAATTCAATACTTTTATCCAAAAGTCAAATACTTTTCTATGAAATTTGTATGAAAAATTTAGTTATGACGTCATAACATTTTTGCGTCAAATAGCTTACTTATTTCCTAATAATTAGCTAAAACAAATCTAAAACTAAGTGTATCGATCGATCGATGAATGAAAGTATAGTTATTTTTCAATATTTTATTGTATTGAAACATCGAATTAATTTATTTTTGACCTAGGAAACTACCCAATTCATCTCTTCTCGTGGAAGTCGATCAGTACTTAACATACTTCGAAGACATATTCATTTAAAATGTCGTGTGACGTCACGATTTAGTAGATACATTTCACATTGAGTAGACAGGTGACAGTGACCTTTTACTCCTTTATTTCATTTTTAAGTACAATATGTTTTTTTTCTATCGTATGTTCGCAAACGAGCAGGTGGATAACCTTATGATAACCAATCAGCCAATCAGCTACGCCCAGGGACACTCGTCATACCAAAGGAGTTAGTTACTACATGTACTCGTCTGGATTATTAGGGATTTTATGATTGCAGATGGGGGAAGCAGTTTTCTGAACTTCTGATACAATTTAATTAAAAAATAATACTTTTTCATTACCTAACTGACGAATTAAGTAGATTTTAAATTTTCGAACACCGTTATCAATTCTACAATAATTTACTACGTATTACCTAAATAAGTTGACGAAAAAGTTTCCCGTCTGCACAGTCCCAAATCTAATCCCCTTCTGTCCACCTGCAACCATTTTGTCAAAGCGAATTCATTTATTTAAAATGGCGGGGTCCGAACGTCAAATATGTTCCGTCTAATTAAAGCGTGGCATTGCGAACCCTTGTTATTTGTTAATGGGGTAGGGATGACAATCGTTATCATTTTTTATTAAATACTTACAAGCTTTTTGAAGTCAGTTTTATAATTTGTTTGTTTGATTTTATATTTCGGTGTTGTTTTTTTTTTAATCGTGAAGTTTCTAACTATGGTCTGTCGGTTTTGGTCGGAACCTATCTAAAAATCGTATGTGAAAATGTTTACAAATAGGAACCTATTTACCTAAATCGATGTTAGCTAATAAACTAAATTTTAATAATCTTTGTATGTATTTTATACGATCTCTTTAATATAAAAAGACATACCATCATTGTTTACCTTTAGTTATTTAACTGAATCGATAGACCATAGTGAAATTCAATATTTTTATTGAAATGTCAAAAACGATACTTTTAGTTCTAATGAATTTAGTATGAAATTATTATAGATATTATAATATAATTATAATATAATTATTGTATCAACTAATTTAATCGACGTAGCCTAATTAATTCAATTTAAAACTAATATTTTCTATTTGAATATAATGTGTATTTATTTTAATCGTATCATTCATCTTAATTTATATTTTTTTTTGTAGTAATTTAAAATAATGTCAAAATGTTAGGTATTATTATTATTTTTTATTCCAATGTTATATAACTTACCTATTCTTAAGACCTAAATATTTTATTAATGACCCAAATATTTGTCATAATTTATTATTTACGTTTAATTTAGCCATTATAATTTTAATTCAAGCCGTTTAATGTGCATGCGGTGCTAGCCTTTAAGTGATTGTTACGCTCGCAAATGTATTTTTCGTTTATATCTACAATGTTCTTTTAGTGTAAACAATTGTTGGCTAGCCTATAATAAATAAATAAATAAATACATACATATGACGTCATAACATAATTATTTGTAAAGTAAGCTAGAAATAATCTCAAATTAAAAACATCGTCAAGTCAATGAATGAAATAATAGGTCAGAACTCTCCCCAATGTGTCGGATGCTCATTTTACCAAACACCGTACGAAGCGAAATAGATATATGTACAGTTTCTTTAGTCTCCACTTAAGCCGAATTGAAAAAAAAACGGTTTAAATAGACAAAAATCTTTATCTTTATTAGAAACGTTAATTTTTTATCCTCTTTTTGTTTATCACTAAGTTGTAGAATAAGTGACCTACCTACTTAATTATATTCAGTAATTTGTTAATACCGAGAGTTTAGGAGTTTACGATTAAACAAAGTACGATTATAAGTACGATTATACCTAGTCTAGCCATAAATACTATAACAAATAAAAAAATATTTTTTCTATTGCAAATAACATTTATTACTTTTACAGTATGTAAGTTTAATACATAAATATAAAACAATTTAAAACATAAAAAGCTTATTCGAAGTGGTCTCCATTGGCTGCAATACAGTCCTTTAAACGTTGAGGCCAGTTATCAATAGAAGCACGTACTCTTTCCATGGGAAAATTCTTCACTGCCAATCGTATGGATCGTTTTAGGGAGTCCAAATTAACATGACGTTTAGAGCAAGCCCTACACTCTCAAACTGACCATAAATCATAATCCAGCGGATTAAGATCGGGACTAGACGACGGCCAGTCTTCAGCTCTGATGAAGTCGGAAACGATCGTTTCCAACCAAGACTGCGTGGACCGAGCTTTATGACCCGGCGCCGAGTCTTGCTGGAAGGACCATTGTTGGTTATTGAACATGGTGTTGTTAAGGGGCTTAACAACCTTCTCAAGAATGGTATTTTGATAGACTTGTGCAAAAGTATGGCTCAGTCACTCCTTCATAGCTAACACCCCACCAAACCATCACTGAAGTCGGATAATGCCCACGTTGCACTCTGTCGACTAATATTGAGAAGCTTCCTTAGAGCTTTGAGCATAAATACGGTCATTTTGTTTGTTAAAATGTTGCTCAATTGTAAAAAATTTCTCAGCCGTAAACAAAATTTTTCTGTGACCTCCCTTTGCGTACCGCTTCAGTAGTTGTTTAGATTTTATCACCCTATTCTTTTTTAAATTATCATTTAAAAAATGTCCAGTGCGTCTCTTATAGGCTGCAAGTCCTAAGTCGTCTTTTAAAATACGCGACATGGTTCTAGGTGCTATCTTCATCTCCCGAGATAAAATCTTTTGCTTTCGGACAGGATTTCTTCGAATTCTTTCCCTTACTGCTTTGACCACCTTTTTCATACGAACATTACGTGGACGGCCAGATCTTTTTCTGTCACAAACAGAGGAGGTCTCATTGTACCTATTAATAGCCCGGTACACAAACATTTGACTAATACCAAGCGTGTGGAGAGTTTTATTAAAAATTGTATTTGGCTCCATACCCACTTTGTGTAATGCAATCACAGCGATTCGGTTCTCTTTATCACCCCACTGCATTTTAATATCGCAAAATATTAAACAATTTATTGGCGCCAAAATAAGAAAACACAATGAAAAATTATATAAAAATGACAGATTCCAAATTCAAATTAATTTTGTTTATTTTTAATTGTAACAGTATTTATGGCCAGACTATGTATTTTAAATGTGTTTTTATAAACCCATTATTTTAATAGAAAATCTAATGCCTTCTTCGTCTCGACTAAAAACCACCCCGTTCCTTCTCCTGCTCCAGGCCAAGGCTAGGGGACCCTTGCATACACAACCCCGGCTGGCCGCCACCACTTCTCCTCCAATGGCTATCATTAGAACTAAGGTACCTACTCCTAATTAACTAAGGACTAACTAACTAATGCGGGTTGGCGATTTCAAACTTATGATTAGAAATTATAAGTTCAGTTTTCCTCACGATGTTTACCTTCACCGTACTTTTGCCGACAAACACTAAACTTCAATATATTGAAAACATATATTTTCTTTCCTTTTAAATACAAAATTTTCGAAGAAATTGTGCATTTTATGCCAAGGCTGCTATTACAACACAGTATAAAACAAAGTCGCTTTCTCTGTCCCTATATCCCTATGTACGCTTAAATCTTTAAAACTACGCAACGGATTTTGATGTGGTTTTGTTAATAGATAGAGTGATTGAAGAGGAAGGTTTATATGTATAATAACATCCATTTAATAGTGGAGAAATTTAGTATCAGCATTGTATCCGTGCCAAGCCAGAGTCAGAGCGTCGCTAATGTTAAATTAATAACCGTGTTTCTTGTTTTTTTTTATGTGATAGGTCAGCTAACGAGCAGACGGATTACCTGATGGACAGCCAGCGCCGCCCATGGACACCCGCAATAACAGAGGAGTTACGAGTGCGTTGCAGACCTTTTAGGGATTAGGGATTTGGAGATTTAGGGATTGGGGGAGAGGAAAGATCGGGCCTCCGATAACCTCACTCACACGGCGAGTAGTAGAGAATCTTAGGCGAGTGAGGAGTCAATAAGTAATTTCTTATTCTTTGTTAAAAATTAATTTGGTAACTAATTAAAGTGATGGACCAAAAAGAAGTTAAATTTTCATTCCCAGTCGTCATTTGTATTAATTTTTAATTGCTAACTGATTTTTTCATGATATTTAATATTTTTAAATAGAAAAGTCAAATGGCGCCCAGCGTGGGACCATTTGAATTGATACCCAACACGAGAATAACAACCGGTTTCTGAAAGGCTTGTCAACGCTAAAATTAACTAATCACCTCTTAAATCTCTTGTCAAGTCATCTGATTGGTTGTTGATAATTCAGTCAACCAATCAGATGACTTGACAAGAGATTAAATTGATTTTAACATTGATCGGCCTTTCGGAAACCGGGGGTAATCCTACCGATTATTAAAAACGACAAAATTTGTAAATATAGATATATAATTGGACTCTCCACCCGAAAAAATAATGAACAGGTTTAAATGGACTTTGAAACAGAGATATAGGTCTCCTTTTACAAAGTTTTTAATTCAGAATTACTACGTAAGAGAAAGCATTGAAAACCCAAGGTAAAGAATGTCAAGTGATATTTTTTTAAATTGCCTGTCATTGTCATTATTAATAGCCCACAGCACTTTTGGTCTATGAAACTCTACTAGATAATACGGTAGTTTCCAACTAGTCAAATTCAATACTTTTATCCAAATGTCAAAAACGATACTTTTCTATAAAAAACTGAGCTATGACGTCATTGTATTTTTGCGTCAAATAGCTTACTTATTTCTTAATAATTCGCTAAAAAATATATAAAACTTAGTGTATTGATTGGTCGATGAATAAAAAAGTAGTTATTTTTCAATATTTGTATTGAAATGTCGAACTAATTTATTTTTGGTCTAGGAAACTAGCCAATTCAATTGAAAGTTAAAATATCCTTGCTTATACGAGTAAATAAGGTGATTTACAAATTGTTCTTTAATTAGCATAGCACTGACTGCACTTTACACAAGTGGCTTGTTGCATGTAAGTTTTAAAAGAGTTTAAGGTTTTATGGATGTGATATGTCAATGCCTTTAAACAAAATATTTTTTTCATAATTCATTATTTTTTACTACATCCACAATTTAAGATAAGATGGTAATAATAATATGTATAGTAATAATCATGGACCCTGATGGGCACAGCAAATAGTAAATTAGAAGAGAGGCAGGCTTGTTTCATATAGAATTATGCTCAAGTATTTCATATTCTAAGTATGTATAGTATTGCTATTATGTTTATATTTTAATAGGTAGGTATTTAGATATTAATATATATTTTTTTGTATTTTGTACATTATATTATAAGGTTATCCGTTCTAAATTTTATATAATGTTATTGTTATATTTATTTTATTGTATTGTATTGTTATATTTTTTGTTATAATTGAGTATTTTATTGTTCAGTTTTTTTGTATGCTATGTTCCTTATATCTAAGCGAAACATGTTGAGCTACTGTTATAATCAATGTATACTGTTTATTACGCAAATAAATGTTTTACTTAATTACCTACTTAATTGTTTATCTAGCCATCATTTTTTACAATATTTAAAAAGATACTTATACCACCTCATTTTTAGTTTAGTGGTAATTCGAGTCACTATAAAAGAACAATACGTGCGCGAACGCCGGCGTTCGCTTGGGGTTTGAAGAATTGAAACAGATACAAAATAAGCCTAACGAAATCAACATATTACACTGATAGTCACATGTTAATAGTAAAAGTTTAGTGGTAATTTGAGACACTATAAAAGAACAATACGTGCGCGAACGCCGGCGTTCGCTTGGGGTTTGAAGAGTTGAAACAGATACAAAATAAGTTAAACATAATCTATCTACTTAATAGGTTTTTTGATAGTCTCATCATCATAATTAGGAAAACTTTTGTGGGTTTTCAACGTACCTTGCCTCATCCCCGTCGGGACTCCGACCATACTCCGACAAAACCCGTCGTTTATCCTCTGGACGTCATGACCAGCGTACAAATAGTTCTGCAGCTGTCTCTGGTTCTGCTGCAGCCTCTCCTGAACGCTCAAATTCATAACATCATCATCGGTATTCGTCAAACCCAAAATGGCAGCGATCGTGAAAGATTTTCCCGCTAAATTTGTCCCTTTGCCTGTCAAATCGACACCGAATGCCGATTGACTGCTATCGCCGTCATCCAGCGTCGATCCAGGTGACGAGGACCGATCGACGTTCTCCGTAAACCGGTCGACAGTATCCGTAAAATCACCATTGTATTTATCGTCGCCGTCGGATATTGCCGATAAGCGATCCACGTTTTGTTGGTAAGCCGAAACGGCCAAAAGGTCCGTTAAATTCGAAGGGTACAAATTCGAATTCTGACGTTCCATCATCGTTGTTCTTTTTTTTTTGTTTTTAATTGTCATTGAAATATTTTTTTTGAATCATTTTTTATATTTTATTTTTTTGCACTGTTTTTACACACACATTTCACTGTCGGTTTGTTAAGTTTACCTAAGTCAATTTGTTTAGTTAATTTATTATTTTAATAGTTAATTAGGGATGACGACTGTCCCGTTCGGGTATCGAGGGAATATTGGCTTGCGGTTTTCGATTTAAAAACGGGCACAGTTTTAAATTTCCCAGGGCGTGGTTACTAGCTATCAGTTTGAAGCGCAAAAAATGACATCGTGAGCGGTCAATCCGGGTGGGGGGTTTTTACCCGGGTAGGGGGTGAGTTTGGGATGCTGTGATTGGTTTATTTCGCGCATGCGTGAAAGGGGCGGGTCCAGATTGTAGGGGTGTGGTTTAGCAGTGATTTGCGGTCGGCGAAAGCCTTTGATTGTGGCAGGGACGGGTTTGGAGTTGCTGTCTTGTTTTAATTAGCGTGGCTTATTAGTTCAGAGGTTGTTAGCGCGACTGTTGAGCAAGGAACCATAATATTATAAAGATATTTTTTAACTTTAAGTTGAGTCCTCATGCATGCATGCATCTGTATATTAGAGGACAGACTGACAGACAGACACACACAAAAGTTGAACTTTAAATATTTAATTATTTTGATAGACATTCAATAGTCGGTAGGCCCTACAGTGGTATAAGTATTTGAAATAAATGATTTACCTTTGGCTTTGTCGCTTATGTGTCGTACAGGCAGGCTATCGAGTCACATTCACACCAAATTAGTTCGGCACGAATGGGTCGGCTCGACCAGATTGATACCACGGCCTCACAGAAAGTGTTTCACCGACGTGAAACAACCACAGCGTTGTGTATTGCTATGTGAGCGAGGTTACCAGAGACCCAGTCCCTTCTCAATCCTTTAATATCCAAGGCCGACATCGTAACTCCTTTGGTGTTACGGGTGCCCATGGGCGGCGCCGATTACTTGCCATCAGGTAATCCGTCTGCTCGTTTACCAACTTATTCAGTAAAAAAAGCTACTATTAAACAATAGGTGGAATGAAATAGAAAGGCTATAACTTAAGAAAATTTGTCACTCAATCATTTGCTAACAAAAAAAGGCCAAACAATCCAAATAATATTCTGTTTTAATTGTATTCTGAGTTCGGCCCAGTATATAACGCGCGCCCCTCCCTCAACCCGCACCCGCGTCTCTCATGAAACAATTTAATATCATAATCTGCCTCCAATACTTGGTAACACCAGGAGCTGATGCAGAAAATGGAGGAGGCATACGTTATAGACTTTATATTCATCATCGTCATCAGCCTATAAGTGCCAACTGCTGAGCAAAGACAAGGGGCCCGAGTCTACTATTTTTATAGTGTTGTCATTCCTACACGATTCCATTGTCATTTTTCTAAAAGTTCGTAATCTGTTAATTCAAAATGGCTGATCATTGGCGTTCGGCGAAGTCGTAATAGAATTATAGTACGAGATGTCTTGTAACGAATTATAAACAATAACTATTTTAAACGTAAATCATTGAATAAAGGAACTGACATTTTTTTTTATTAATTTACCGCGTTATGTCAAATATTAATTTGTCATTAGGTATGTACGAGATTACCGTTCTAAAGAATTATTTCAATGAAGTGGCATTGGAAAGTCATAATGACGCTATCGTGTTGGTAGAATACCAAACTTTGTCAAAATCAACAATTTTGAAACCACTGATCTACTATTCTGACACTATTGTAATAGCAGATTCAAGGCCCTGCACGTCGATTTTATAAAATTTGTTTGATTTTGAATCGTGTTCGAGTACGAAGTGAGCGTCGAAGTGACGAGGAAATTAAATTTTAGAATGCCACTTTTAACGTCATCTCATACTTTATCTATCAAAATGTTGCTGTCAATTTAGTTCAACTCGCAAGTGTAGCGCTAGTGTACCAATACTCACAGCGGATTCAGATTCGAAGTTTAGAATGAAGTCTTACAGAATCACACTGCTGTTCACACACGAAGATGGTTTTAGCATTAAACGCTTGCTCAAGATGATTTCAAACTTATAAATTAGAAATGATAAGTCCAAGTTTTCTCATCACTCAGGATGTTTTCCTTCATAGTTGGTATGTTTTTTTAAGGCAACCTAGCTGGACAGATTACGGAATTGTAAGCTATTAGGGCTACCCATGGAAACTTTCAACAAGGGAGGAGTTACGAGTGCGTTGCTGAAGTTTTGGTGATTAAGGGAGTATCGAATTTAAAAAAAAAAACGTTGCTCCACACTAGGATTTTCTCCTGTGTCGTAGGTGCGTTTGCAAACATACAAAATTACACACACAACACATCCAGACCCGGAACAACAATTTGTGGATCACACAATGTGTGAAAATATGGTTTTTAGTCAGTCTGACACTCCCTCTAGTCCCAAACTGAGAGTTTCCTCCCTTGTAAAAAAGGGATAAGCCTTCTACATTATATTGTTAGCACAATTTTAGACTACCTATAATACGGTAGTTTCCAACTAGTCAAATTCAATACTTTTATCCAAACGTCAAAAACGATACTTTTCTATGAAATTTGTATGAAAAAATTAGCTATGACGTCATTACTTTTTTGCGTCAAATAGCTTACTTATTTCTTAATAATAAGCTAAAAGAAATCTAAAACTTAGTGTATCGATCGATCGACGAATAAAAGTATAGTTATTTTTCAATATTTTATTGTATTGAAACGTCGAAATAATTTATTTTTGACCTAGGAAACTACCCAGTTCTATACCTACTCTATTTATAAGGAACTGAGAAGGTTCCAAAAAATCTCCAGTAAAACTTTCGATCTGCACTCACACGGCGAAATATGTTGGTACTTATAATCTCAAGTTTGTATTCAGTGCCGAAAACGCTAAAAAAAAATTGACATACCAAAATAAAATTACTTACTTATTCGAAAAAACTTTACTGATTTTTTTTTGAATTGTGTTTTTTTTTTCAATGTTTGTGATTGTTTACTTGACAAGTAAGTAATAAAATTAATGATTTTTTTTTCTTTAAATCGCATCTGAGTAAAGTCCAATCTATCCAAACTAATATTATAAATGCGAAAGTAACTCAGCCTGTCGTTCTGTCTTTCTTCACGCCTAAACTAATGGACCGATTTCTGTGAAATTTGGTACAGACACAGTTTGGAACTCGAGAAAGAACATAGGATAGTTTTTATACAAAAATCGGCAGGAAGTCACTATTCCACGTGAACGGAGTCGTGGGCAAAAGCTAATATAATATAAAAAATACAGTTTACTATAAAATTGCTTAAGATACCTAGAAAACTGCCAATATTGACAATTAGAAAAAAAATAAGTCATATTAATTGACTAGCTTTTGCCCGCGACTCCGTATTAATAAGTCGATAATACAAAATTTACATAAATCCGTTTTAAATTCGAATATAATTTTAAGTGTGGGAGAGCCATGCTTCGGCACGAATGGGTCGGCTCGACCGGAGTGATACCACGGCCTCACAGAAAACCGGCGTGAAATAACCACTGCGTTGTGTTTCGCCGTGTGAGTGAGGTTACCGGAGGCCCAATCCTTCCCCTTCCCCAATCCCTCCTCAATCCCTAAATCTCCAAATCCCTAATCCCTAAAAGGTCGGCAACGCACTCGTAACTCCTCCGTTGCGAGTGTCCATGGGCGGCGCTGATTGCTTACCATCAGGTAATCCGTCTGCTCGTTTGCCGACCTATTACATAAAAAAAAAAAAAACATAACTTTCCGTACGTCCGTTGTATAAATAAACGATAGAATTCAAAACCGTAGCGTTCTATAGTTTATGGTTTACCATAGACGGTAGATACCTATAGATCATAACGTCCAATATTTGTGTTTGGAATAGAAACAAATACAAAATGTAACGGTTTAATTTCAAATGATTTATGTCGATCGATGAGATTCTGATGGCGTTGCTTGGAGGATTTTTGTTGCTTTTCGTTACATAAAAATTGTACCATTACCTTGTATTTCGTATTCGACGCGTGAAAAGGTCTAACCTTATTATCAACTAGCTTCCGCCAGCGGCTTCGCCCGCGTATCCCGGGATTTTAAAAACAGCAGTGTTTAAAGCAATAGCTCGATTTAAATACGCAAATCAATTTTAATTAAAATTTATGAGCTATATACAGGGTATAAAAAGACAACGAAGCGAAAGCCACGTATTCTACCCATTATTTGGATCATTTTTTTCTTTAAGACCATAGCTGGGACTCCACTGGTTCTCAAAATATTGAAGGTCAAAGATGCATTTTTAATTTTCTTTTTTTTTTGCGCAATCGAATTCTAAGTTTTATTACAAAACTTTTTTCCAAACAAACATTACCTGAATTTTCGATTTTTCTAAATAAATTACGCATTTGAAGTTACGAACAGTAATGTACGTAATAAATAAATGCAGACCCGCACAAAAAACATCGTGCATCTCAGTAGGATTTTTATTTTACAGAATTGTTTTGTTGTTGCGAAGTAAAACGTCGACCTACGCACTTATCACATCGTTTTAATGCTAAGCTGTGAACCTACGCACACAATGACACGAAGCCCGTTTGCTTTACATTGCGCGCATTAAAATTATTATTTTTTTTGATACCTAAAAATGCAAGTCGTTTCCCAGT